ATCACAAATGAAAAACTGAATGCAGAGCGTCTCTTTCTTCATGATTAAGTCAGTGAGACCATGAAGATAAGTGTTCTGCAAGAAACTTTTCCCACATTGTATTATATATGTGACACCAAATATGATTTCAAAATACTTTTCAGTTAAAATGTGCATGCAGTGATACAAGGTGATGCTATTCCACTTAGTAGTACTTTGAGGACAGCATGAGAAAATAATTGAGAAATAGTTTGAGAAACTATTTTGTGTAGGGTCCGCACCACAGATTTTATGAGGATTCCAGTCTTTTAATAGTCATGTTATAGTGAGTTCAGTAATACAGGAATATTGAATTTAATTGACTTTTTTTTTTTAATTAAATAATGACTTGCGCATATCACAATTATTCCTGCAACATGTTTAGGCCTAAAGGACCCCAAAGTTCTTCACGGTGCAGTGGCTAATTCTGTCTGGGGTAAGAAAGAGTACAGTAAGTAGAGAGGATTTTTAAGCAAGTGGCGTGTCTTGAAATAGAAGTTAAGAGAAATGAAAATAGAGCTTACAAAAATTTTAAATGTAACAGCTCTTTGGGCAAGTAAGCTTTGTGATAAAGATTTTTAGTCTATTATCGTCAATTTTTGCCACTTTTTTTTCCCAATGAAAAATTGAGTGTTAGGCATTATACAACTTGCAACTGTGAAGAATTGAACTGGTCCTCTGGAGTTTACAGTTCTGGGGTTATCAACATATCAAGACTGCTGATTATTGCACTAAACATCTTCCATTCTCAACTGAAGCTGTAAATGATGGAGGAGGCTTTACATTTCTTAAATTTATTTAAGCCAAACTAGAAGCAGTAAAATGCTGTGATTTGAGCCAGCAGGGAACATATTTGAGATTTAAATACAAATGTAGGAAAAGAATAAATCTGAGTGACTAATATGAGAAAGTCTTTCCTTGTGTTTATTTCGAACGAATATATCAAAGTGCTGTTTAAAGACGACTGATTTAAACAGCAGCAGTGGGTAGGTGACTGTAAGCTTGTTAAGTCTGAGACTTTTCAGTTTATTTAAACTACCACTGTAACTCGAGGAGGCTAATTACAACACATGGCTTAATAGTCAAAAACATAGCTCTGCATGTTTAATGTTCCGAAGTGTCAGATACTTATGCATTTAAGATTAATATTTCTTTTAAGTTATCTTGAAAAATTCATGAAAATCTGTGTTAACCATCATAGTGGATTTAAAGAGGTAAAATCCATTCATCACTTATAATCTAATAAAAATTTCAATGAAGTCCTTGTTCTTCAAAATGAAATCCTGTTTCTTTGAACTTACAGGCCTTATAATCCTCACCAGAAGGTGGTAATAGTCCAGATTGAAAGATAGGAAGACGACTTTGGGCCAGCTCTGCAGATCACTACCAGTGAGGATCATGGGTAGAGGTCCTGAGTTCCAGTCAAACCTTGGAGTCCAGTACTTCCTCCCAGTGAAATGTCTTTGAGGAGCTTTCTAGTAGGAAACCTAGCACGCCTTCATGTGGACCCTGCTCCTTACTGGAGTTAGGATTTGGTCCCAGCGTTCTGCAGGTCCCAAACCTGTAGACAACATCATCAGAACTTTCTCTTAATGCTGTAACACCAGAGCTGCTTGGCAGTGGCACTCAGAGCCCTTGAGCTGCTGTTGGATGGTAATGTGGGCTGCCCAGCCTGCAGGTGGAAGGCTGTAGTTTTTATGCCTGGGGCAAAGGCACATACCAGTTGTAATGATTCTTGATTCCTGTCTGATGAAAAGGGTGAATTTAACTACTTTGGCTCTTTCTTTATTGAGGACAATAGAGTGTTAAGATTTCGTTTCTGCTAAGTGGAACCTTATTTACAGGAGTTCAGTTAAAAGCTGTGTCGGTGACTCCTCTTTTGGATATCAAGTATTGTATGGTTCTAAGCTAATTAGGTTAATCAGCCCTGTTCTCTTTCTCTGTATCCCCTAAATGAATATTACTTGAGCTATTAAAGGAAAGTAGTCATCTTAGGGCAGGATGTGGCTATATTATGTTAATATTGTTTACTACTTCACGTTATTACTTGGTGAAGTACACAGATAAAAATGTTGAAAAATACAAGTTTAAATAGGCTGGGAATGACGGGAGAAGATTCAAGATTAAAAGAAATAATGAAGGTATAACAAAATTAGATTGCTAGGCTGGGGCAGGAAGGGGAAGATTCATCATTATAAAGAAAAAAAGAAGGTACAATAAAATTACACTGCTTTAATAGACATTAATTGATTTTGTGTCTGATCCCACCTAATCCTTTTTAGAAAAAAAAAATACAAGATGCTTCTGCATAAAACCCACATACACTAAATGGAAATGTATTTATTTAAAGTATCTTTAGGGACTTGAGTTTGTTTGCCCACTATGCTTTTCCTTCAGTCCTTGCAGGGTAGATTTGAATATTATGTATGTGAGTACATGGGCGTAGTTAGTGCAATCTAGTTAATTGAGAGGAAGATCTCCAGGAACTCCTACGTTCCAGTCCAGTGAGTTACTGAGCAGCCTGGGGCAATTCGCTCAGCTGCTGCGCTGTTTTTCTGGTGCTCAGCTGCTAGCACCATCTCAGGGAATAAAAACATGGGGCTGGTTTAATGTGCTCCTGTGGAATTTCAGTGCTAAAAATATGTAGGTATGTGGTATTAGTGCATAGCTGTGCAGCTAAAGAAATAACGAGGAATGTGGTCATAAATTTGCTGCTAAATTAATTTAGTGAGGGAGTATGGTGTCTGCTTCCCAGGACAAAAGACCCTTCTTTTCACTGCTTGGTAGATTCAGCCATGCCTTTTGATTGCACACTGATGGTAACTTGCAAAATTAGCAAAGAGCAATTCCGTAGTAAATCGTGTGATTCATTCTTCCTTTGTGATAAAGTAAGATTTGATTAATCTTTCATGTGATTAGCTTCCATGACGGATTAGCAAATGTGAAGATAAGCTGCCAAGTGGTACCAGTTAAGCAGAGGAGTTGCTGTGTCCGGTGTGAGTCTGCAGGGATGTGGGGCCATCAGATTGGTGACTTCCATGCTGCTGGCAGCACTGGAGGAAAAAGAGTTTCTTGTGTGTGCAGCCAGCTGCTGGTGTGATCTTGTAGGGCCACAAAGAATGAGGCTGCTGTGTGCTCATCTTGCTCTGAGACTGATGCTTCTGGTGGAAGTAGACAGTGCCTGCAACTGTCAATGAAGAACTGAAATTTTTAAGTGATGTTTGAAAGGTTTAGCAATCTTTGTACTTAAAACCAAACCACCCAAGAAACCCCCCCAAGCAGATTATTAAATTGAATTTTTTCTTCTCCTTTGCTTACTTTTTCATTTCTGTTCAAATAAGCCTAATTTCTAGGTGTTACTTGGCATACAAAGGGCCTACTTTCAGTTTATTAATTTAGTTATATGGGACTGTGCACGATACTACAATTTTATAGCATTTACAACCTCAGGTAGCACTGAATGTAGGCTATTTCCAGTGCATTAGACAGATGTTAATCAGATTTTTTCTTTATTTTGATGTTGTTCGTCATGAAAACTTTCAGATGCTTGGAAAGTGCTTCTGAATGAATGGATTTTGCTTTTTGCAATGCTGTTCAAAAGGAACAGTCTCATGGTTTTTAAATTAGTTTCTAGGCTGTGTACTGGAAACTTTGACTTGTGTGTGTGGTCTCTGAAAAGGTGTTGATCAGAGCAAGCTTTTCCATTAGATGAGGTAATTCAGATGTATTTCTTTATTCAAATATAACTTCTGAATCTGAAACTGCATCTTTTAAATTAAATAAATGAGATCAAATATAATTCAGGCTTTTTGCATCAGACTGTTCTTACATTGACTGCAGCAGCAACTACTTTTGTAGCCTTCCCCAGTGTGTTTTTTGCCCTTGCACAGGTTTGATACAGGTCTGAAATACTGGGTTTTCATGCCCTCGCTATAGAAAGCTATAATGGTGTGGGTAGGAATTTTTTCATAATATCAAGACTCAATAGGAATTTTTTTTATTTTAAAGGATCTCACATAGTGCCTGCTTTTTAGTCCCTTTTAAACAAGATTTGTTGGGTGTGTTATTTATCTGATCTGTAGAGCAGAAAAAGGGAGCCTTGCTATTTACAGATGAGCTGCTATGTTTTCAGAAGCTGCAGGTGATGCAGGCAAAGGAAGGCAGGCTGATTTGGCATCAAAGAGGTCCAGTTACTTTTGATAAGAAAAACACAAGTTTTGTTGATGAGAAAAATAGAAGTTAGAGCCCTCAGAATGAAACTATAATAATATAGATAAATAATAATATAAAGTCTGAAAATGTATCTGTTCAAAGGCTGCTTTTCAAGCTTTCAATTAATAACCTGCCTTTTTAGAGTTAGGCTAAGAAGTGAAAGCACTGTATTTTTGAATATTAATTAGATACCTATTAATAAAGCTGATTTCTGTTGGTTTTTTTTCCTACCACCTCCTCCCTGTTACTCAGTGAATTTTCTAGAGTTTTGAGGAAATGGAAGTTAACTCTCCTAAGTCAAGCAAAGTCGCAGTGCCTCAGTGCCTACTCAGGGCACAGTAGTAATGGAGGAAAACCTTTTATAGGGGCATTTCAGCTAACAATAATATGGTCTACTAAACAAAAAAATTCATTTAGGTTTCAGTTCAGCAGTACAGCACAGGGTGCTTTTACTAAAGAAAAATGAACTTTCTGTTAAGTCCTTGCATTTTGAAGCTACACAACTCCTTTGATTTAGAAGATTTAAGATAGAAATAATTCTGGTTCTGTACTTAAAATATCGTAAGTTTCACAGTGTTTTAAAAAAAAACACCACCAAAAATCTCCAAGGGTTCCTGTGTGTCATTGTCTTAGTTCTTTAAAGTTCAGAATTCTTGTTTACTTGTTACTACATGTTGCTACTGTAAATGATTACTTGTAAGAACCTATACAAAAAATTATTTTGTGCCAAGATTAACCAAGAGTAATACAAACTTTGTCTTTGTTTTCAGTCCAGAGGAGCTTCCTGTCCATGATGCAGCGATAGAAAAGGTGAGTCCAGTGTCTTCCAGTTTTTTGACTAGGCAGTAAACGTTTACAGATTTACGACTTCTAAAATATAAGTCATTGTGAAATGAGGAGATGAAGCATTTTAGTGATTTGCATTCCCAAGGAAACATGTTCTAAGTCCCATAAGGACTGTGGTCCTTGAGGCCGTGTTAACTTGCCCACAGATACGTTGCGGCCCCCGCAATCTTACGTTGACTAGTTGCAATGAGACATGAGTCTTCCTCACCCATTATATGACCTAGTAAAGGAAACAGAGCTATTTAAGAGATCACACCCGGCTCTGTCCTGAAAGAGCAAGAGCTATTGTCTCTGTCATGAGCTGTCATCAGCTGTGCTGGGTGGATGGATTGTCCAAGTGAGGTGGTGCCTTTGATGCTGAGGTGTACAGTGTAGCGTGCTTTTCTAGTTTGGTAAATGGTGACAAATACCCTGGCTGCCACTGGAACGTGATGACCTCCCTTGTAATGTTGAGTTGACAAGCCAAGTGTATTCTGGACGTGCAAGACCTGTCAGCAGCTGGTGCAGGCCCTAGCTCAAAAATCTTTCTGCTGCTGGAGGGTACTAGAGGAGAAGTTTGGGAACTGATGTTTTGGGAATGTGGAAAGCTTTTATTAAAATCATCGGGAACCGAATTTCTATTTTTCTGGGCCTAGTTACTATTGGTATTTCCCCTTGGTCTGTCAGGCCCATTGTTGTCTCCAAGACCAGATCAGATCCTTCTTGTTTGTCCATATTGATCATCTGTATCGTCAGAAAACTTGAGATAAAATATTTGAAGCTGGAAGTTTAAAGTTAGCCCTCTTGGCTGCAAAAATAAGTAGAGTGCATGGAAAAGGGATGGAATGACTTGTTCTAAGTCAGCTCAGCTCCCCCAGTGTTAAGAGCAGCAGTGCTTCTGAAAATAAATTATTCTGAGCTTCAGTGTAGAGCTAGTTAAGAAATGTTTCTTGTAAAAGAAAGGAACTTCTGAGTCCCTTTTGTTTTGTGTTGGTTCATGTGTATTTCTGCGTATGCAGCCTGAAATACTTGTATTTTTCTGCCATGTTTCATTACATTTAATAACGTACTGAGTGTATATATAATTTCATTTCCATCAGAAGGACACAGCAGGGTGGTGAGTCTATGAGCATAAATACTAGACAGCTTGCAATTATTGTGGTATATGTGTTTTGAAGCTCTGATTCACTGTGGCTTTGTAGTTAGCCTTGAATTATTGGGGGGAAATAGTGTCTCAGTTCTCTGTCCCATATTGTATTCATGCTGTCTCAGACAAAATGTCAGCATAAAAACTGTATTTATTGAGTCAATGTTAAATTGCAAATCTAGTGCCTTTTTATAATCATACAGTAATACTCCTCTATTAGGCTCCTGTTTATACTCCTGATGATATCCTGACCTCTGCTGGTTTGAGGTTTATCTGTCTTCTGTCAGCAGTGTTTGAATCTTTACAATTTTCAAGATACCATTCATAGGATAATTAACGTGTCATCTTAATGTAGGCTAAGACTAAAAGCTTTCTGTGCAATATCTTTTGAAGTCACTTACTTGGCAGAACTATTTATGCTTTCCTTTTGCCTTACTTGCAAATTTTAAAAAACATTCCTAAGTCATGTTTTCTTTTCATTTGCAACTTAAATAAAGGGTTGTGTATCCTTGTGAATTTTGAATCTCTATTCGTCACATATATTCAAGTGTAAAGTTTAAGCTGGGTTTTCTGTGTGTGTATTTATGTGTTTGTGTGTATTCATGTGTGTAATACTTTTAGAATAGGCATTATTACTGTGAATGCAGAGTAATTTTGAAGCTTCATTACCTTGCTGGGCATTTGGTGACTTAAATGCATTGAATCATTGTCCTACATTATGAACTAGTTAACCTTCAGATGAATTATCCAGCCCATCTGAGATAAAACTAGGGGGGGAAAGATCATCTAGAGGGGAAAAGTAGGCAGAGAACTGACCTCAGGAAATCTGGAGTCTGTGTCTGACTGTTTTTGAAGTGCTATGAAATGTTTTGTAAGTCATTTTCAGTTTGTTTGTGTTTTGTCTTTGGTTTACTTGTTTTTAAATTCTCCAGGGAGCAGTGCAGCCAGTTCTGGTTTTGTCTGAGGCTTCTGCTAAAGTATTGCTTTAAGCCTCAGCTCTAGCACACTTGCTCTACAGGAAGGTAGAATGCTGCACAAAAGATGGATGCTTGCCAACTTAACTTCATCCTTTTTTGCTTTCCATAGTGTATTATTTACTGACATGAGAGTAAGAAACCTTCTCTGCTTCAGTTAGGGATTCTGTTATTCCCAATAGCAAAAATGCTTCAAAGTGTAAAATGTACTCAGAAGACAGATAAAAGGATTTTTTTTTCTTTTTCTTGGTGACAACTACATGGAACTTGCCTGAAAGAGCAGCAGCAGCATCCCTCTACTCTGCAATGAGCTGCGTCAGATCTATCCATGTTTTCAGTGTTGCACCTGTTAGACATGAAAGTGAACATAATTCAGACTGGGAAAAAAATAGCTAAAAGTTTTCAACAGCTGAACACAGAAATAACTGCTATTTTGACTACAGTAGCATCACTTGAGAACTGGGATAAATTGACACAGAAGACATAAAAGCTTGAACAAACATACAATTGAAGTGAGCTTCTGGCTCAAAAGACCAAAAATCTTGAAAGTAGATCAAACATACAAACAAAAAGACTGTGGGAGCAGATAGGGTTTTATTTTTCTTACCAATTATCTGAACAACCTGTTGAGGGCAGAGACCTTTCCTGACTTGATAGCAATGTTATTCCTGCAATCTAAACTATGCCTAGAGAACATCTGCTTTAAGAGATGTTAAAAATGGTTATTTCTTAAAGGGGTTGCGAGTGTGGAGGGGAATCGGAAACAGTGTTGTGAAACCTATGAAATCTGGGAAGCAGTAGTTTTTCTACAGTTCCCCTCTAACCTAACTCTTAAGAAGAGTGTTTTAAAAAATTAAAAAAAAAAAAAAAAAAAGCAAGTGGTTGAGGTATTACCAAATACAGCGTGGAACCTGAACAAGAATGTGGGCAGTTGATTGCAACATGAATATTTAGATAAGTTAAGGTTGAAAGAGTAGAGGCACACTTTTCCCCATAACTTTCTTAAATATAAGGCTCATGTCAGTTGGATTCAAATAGAAAAAATGTAAAAAACCAAACCCAACTTATTTCCAGGATACTTCATGGACTGAATCATGGTTGGGGTGGACCTAAACAGTCATCAAGTTGTAATTCTGCAATTGCAAGGCTTTGGGCTCCTGGATTAAAGTCCTTTGCCCATTTTGTTGCATTGATAGCCAAGAAAGAATGCACAAATTCTAATGAGTAAAAGCTAGAAGTAAAATTAGAATTCTGTTGAGACAATAAGTAATAATTTTCTTTTATATTTTTCCCCAACATTTCAGATGCAAGTTGACTTAATGAATACTTAATGAAAGTATTAATAAGTTTTCAGTATCCTGCAGAGCTTTGAAATTAAACTCTTACATTGTTACCAGATTGTATCACTAACCATATGAAACAGAATATCCTTCCTGTCTTTATTAAGCCCTGAATTTGAAGTTGGAGGGAGAGGGGCTGTCCTTTACAAAAAACCCTTAATATTTGTTTATATTCATCTTTGAAGAGAAAGCAAGAGCCACACATACATTTTTCTGCTTTAGCTTTTCCAGTGTTGGTCCTCAGCTCCAAAGCATTATGAAAGAGTTGAAATAGTGTCCTTAAAAAATAAAAAAAAAATACAGTTAATAGTTAACTTTGTAGTACAATCAGAGACACCTCACCTACTTTACAGCCCAGTTTTGCATGCTGTGAAAATACGTACTAAAAATCTTCTTAACATTGGAGCCAACAAAATACAGATTTTTGGCTGTGAAGAGCCCATGTGCCTTGAAATTCCAGGGACTAAAATAGCTAATTCCAAGTGCTTGCTTGGTTCCCAAATTCAAGAAGTTGATGGCAACTGTAGCAAGGTTTTCATAGGCAGAATGGTTATCTTTAAGGTGGTAGGGTTGTCCCATGCTTTTAAAGCTGTATATAATATAAATAATGTATGGAATTCACATACTTATGTTACATGTTATACTACTTAGTATAACTATTTATTTTAAGAAGATGGGGTTTGTTTTGTTTTGAATTCCCATTTTATCACCTTGTTACTGAGATACTCTTGTAATATAATGTAAACAAGTAGATCTTACCTCAGAAGAAATCCTTGATGTTAAGTTATAGGGCCATGTAGGTAGAAATGTACCAAGCCAAGGATGAGAATTATAGCAAGGCTTTCTAAGCTTCTAATGTCCAGAATTAGACCTTATTCCCACTTCTGCTACTGCGCTGTCACTCTTTCTTGCACTTGTTTTTGTTCATGTACTTTGTGCCTTTTAAGAAGGGATGGTTTGTGTGATCACTGGGAAACAGTAGCTAATCATGTTTAGGGAAAGTCTGGGTAAAGATCATTTCAGAGTGAAATAGCTTTTAAGAAGCTTGCAGCAGAAATTATTTGCCTGAAAATTTACTGAATATAAAAACAAATTGAAGTTTTTTGTACTTGCCAAAAATGTGTAGAGAAGAAACCTTTATAAATCTGGTACTTAAACTCCTCTTACAAAATACAATTCTTTACATGGTGCTGAAAATAAGGGTTTCTACCTGGGTTTTGGTTGGCTGGTTTTCTGGATGTTTTAGGTGAACTGATGTTACTCTGTCGCTGTTCTTAGATGACTGGATAAAAAGTTGCTGATGCTGTGTTAAACTTTTTTTCAGTGTTTTTAGAAAAGCATAAATAATTTTAAATGTATTCATTTTGAAAAGATTAAAAAATTCTAATTTCTTTTCAGCAAAAGCACCTTGAAATTGAAAGAACTACAAAATGGCTTAAGATGCTGAAAAGCTGGGAAAAATACAAGAATAGTGAAAAGGTAAAGTTATGTGTGCTTTTTTCATTAGCTATCACTTCTGAATGAATGTATAACCTTAAATTAGATTGTTTCTGTTTATGAGATCTGGGGAAAATAAAAACCAGACAACACACACTGAAAGAAAAAGGCTTTTTATTCTTCCAAAATGCAATAATACACAGTAACCCAAAAATAATAATAACCCAAGAAAACTGGTGGTCAAATGCAAGGAATTTCTAAGGGCAATATTGCGTAGGCTCTCTAACATATTCATAGTAATAAGTGTGTGCTGTACTGCTTTGCACTGTGGGATTGGAACTGGGATCACACAGCATACTGTGTTCACATCTGCAAAATAATCTGTGGAGTGAATGAAGCATCAGACCTGCTTGTCTTGTCTTGCAGAGAGCTAGAAGTTGTGTTTGATTTAGGCTTTGAGAATGCTAGGAGGAAAAAAAGAAAAATCTTTATAATCTTGAAAAGAGGGACACCTTTAAATGGGTATAGCTGAATTCTTCAGGAATTACAAATCCCCTTTCAAGGGTTATGATTTTTCACTTTTTTTATTCCTTTGTATGTTGGATATTGTATTAATTAATAATTAAATTTTAAAGTTACTCTTCTGAGTTACTGGTGGTGTCTTATTAACACCTATGAGGGGTTTTTTACTCTTAATCTTCTTCTCTTCCATGGTCATGTCTTCCCAGTTCCCCCCCTTCAACCCCCCCCCCCCCCTTTTTTTTTTTTTTCCCCTTTATTTTTTTGCAGCCCAGGTTTACTGAAGGGCCTAGGATAACTTACTGTTATGGACAAGTGAAAACCACCTTGAGTAGTCATCACATGGGGCATATAGTTCGATGCTTAAACTATCACATTTGCCAGCACAGATATCTTAGGATATCCCACTATACCTGGTTGCTTTGTTAAAAGGATAGTTGCACTAAGTGAGAAAGTAAAAAGTACAGGAAGTCATTCAGTGCCCAGTCCCCCTTGGGCTAAGTCTGGTTTTTCTGTGAATAATATGCAATGCAGCATTCATAATCTTCAAGAGAAGTGAATTTTTTTGATAGTATGAATGGGATCTACTTTTGAATAGAATACTTCATAACTTGGTGGGCTTTTTTTTATTTTGGAATCAGTAGAGAAGAACTGAAATCTGCTGACAGCTACTTAACAGTGCCCAGCAGTGCTACATTTCTTGACTTAAAAAAAAATAAAAAAATCATTTTCTATGTGAAGCTGCAGGTGAGTTTTAAGGTAGTGAATTGCCCATTAATAATCTTTAAATTGCTTTTGGGATTTTTAGTTACAGAATTATTTTTATCCTACTTAGAAAACAAATAGTGGTCTGAAGGTAATGACAGAACGGGGGTTATGTTAGGTATACCATTAAGTGCTAAGTGCTTTTACTTGCTTTGAAAGCTAGGTAGGGAGGTTCACATGAATAGTTTATTTGCTGGAATTGTAGTCTTGGTCATCTTAAAATTATGGAAGAATTTCAGCTGGGAAAAAACTTTCTGGAGTGGCTATATTCCCAACACTCTGTTCTGAGGAGGTTTTCATAACTGTTTTTGTGGCCGTTTAGTGGATAATGCACAGAGTATGAGGTTCCCAAATTCAAATTCCCTCTTCCCTTCAATAGGGCTTAAAACTCGCATTTTCTGTTGGGGATTCTGTTGGTATTTTCTGATGCTGCTGATCCACCTGTATTTTGCTGAGGACTAGAGGACAACTGTTATGCATCCTAGGTTACTGCCTGGATGGCTGGCTTGCAGCATTGGCTTACTCCTTTATTAGCCTTTTTTTTAGTAAATTATTCTGTGCAAAGTGGAAAACTTTAAAGGGAGAGGTTGAGACCAGAATGCTTGTTAGCCTGATGAGCAGGGAACTGAGATACTACAATTCAAGTAGAGGGAGAAATTTACTCAGCATGTCCCCCACTCATCATGTCTGCTTACTACCTTTATTTTTGAGACTAGAAGCTATGTCTTGCACTTCGCTTTTGTTAAAAATGCCAAAGACAGTGGTTGATGTTTTTCAGGTTATAACTAAGAAGCTAGCAAATTAATTTTCTTAAAATATGAAGTGAATGCATGAAAAAGTAACAATTTGTTTCCCAAGTTTTTCTTACACTCCTACTTTCTGTCCTGTCATCTCTGGAAGGAGAAGCTAGAGGTCATAACACTGGTGGCTTTGTTTCTTTACTGTGGCGATTTGAAGATCAAGTATGTTCCCAAGTCAAAGGGATGATCAAAAAACCTGTGTTGCAGTTACTTTGTTTGCAAAGAGAATGATAAATATGACCTTTCAGGTATCACAATAGCTACATGTTGTCTAAGCAGCATCGCTTTTCCTTTTCAGCTATTTGTAACATCAGTCCATGATACACTGACTTAACTGAATAATCTTCTATTCACCGAGCATGCAGAAGGTATAGCAGATCAGCTGAGCAGAAAGAGTTTCAGTTCATGTAACAAATTACAGGCTGAACTATAAATAGTGGCAGGAATAATTCAGTATGTTCATAAAGGGGATGAACTTTGCTTGAGGCTAGGAAAAATTCTCACTGATTGTTGAACTCTGGTGGAGCACTTGAGACTTTAAAAACAAGGGTGTTTTCCTTTTCTTTCTCACATCCTATGTGGTAAGTGAACCAGAACATACAGAATAAAGAATCAGCTTCCTCTTCCTCCTCCCGAGTATGCAGTGGAAAGTCAGACATTATTTGTCACTGCTTCTTATGGAAAGCCTGGTGGTGTTCTCAGGGTTGTACAAAACTCACAGATAAAGACAGTTTTTTATCTGAAAGTGTGTTGGAAGAATGCACCAGCTTTCCATGCTTGCCTTCTTGAAGCATGGGAGCAATAGTTGCAAGAACAATTCCTGACTCTTGCTTTCTGTCTTCACTTGATTGGATAAAGTCGTTAACACTGGAGGAACAAATTGCTAAAGAAAATGAACAGCTTGTATCTTAAAAGACTCACTTCACCTGACACTTGCATGGTTTCTGTGCAGTCAGGCTGCTCCTGAAATGAGTGTTGTTTAGAAACAGCACTGAAGGGAACATTGCAGCAACAACAACAGTAATAATGTTGTGGGGTCGTAGATTATAATTGTAGTGATGGCTTGGTTTTGGAAAATGGCGTACCTGAGAGATGCTTGTGCTCTTAAAAAGAGACCAAGGGAGAGTCAGAGAAGGTGATGGTCCCAGGGATAGAGCAGGTATGTACAAAGTACAGGACTTTAGACAGCCTGTTTGTAATGAGCCTTCATAATACACAGCTGGGAGAGTTTTGGCTTGAAGAAATCTGTTCATACTGTACACATACTGTAAATGAATCCATATATTTGATTACATTATCCAAAACTGTCATATGCTTGACTGCAAAATACAGTTCTCATTTAATACTCTTGCAGAGCTGCCTATAGGCTGCTGCTTTATTTTTTTTCCATCATAACTTCACAAGGAGAATTAATGAGAAAACATTAACACGCTGATGTGTGTGTGCGTGCATGCGAGATGCTTCAATTTACATCTTCCCCTGATCTTTATTGCGGAAGAACATACCGAGAGACATGGGGACTCTGGGAACTTCACACTGTTTTCCCATTAGAACTTCTGTGCTTAACCTAATAAAAAAAAGGGCAGGAGAGGAGAAGGGGAATGGAGGCCAGCAATGTGTGACCATGAGGAACTGGAAAGAGATGGAAGAGTTATCAGATTGAAACCAGAAATGTGCCAGTCTCTCCCGTATTTGAGTAATGATTTAGAGGTAACGAGGATGACATAGTAAAATGAACCCACGTACAACTCCATAACCATGTAGAATCATAGAATTGCAGAATGGTTTGGGTTGGAAGGGACCTTAAAGACCATCTAGTCCCAACCCCCCTGCCATGGGCAGGGACACCTTCCACTAGACCAGGTTGCTCAAAGCCCCATCCAGCCTGGCCTTGAACACTGCCAGGGATGGGGCATCTACAGCTTCTCTGGGCAACCTGTTGCAGTGTCTCACTACCCTCACAGTGAAGAATTTCTTCCTAATATCTAACCTAAATCTACCTTCTTTCAGTTTAAAAATATTACCCCTTGTCCTATCACTACATGTCCTTGTCAAAAAGTCCCTTTCCAGCTTTCTTGTAGGCCCCTTTAGGTACTGGCAGGCTGCTATAAGGTTTCCCCAGAGCCTTGTCTTCTCCAGGCTGAACAACGCCAATGCTCTCAGTCTGTCTTCATCGGAGAGGTGCTCCAGCCCTCTGGTCATCTTTGTGGCCCTCCTCTGGACCAGCTCCGACAGGTCCATGTCCTTCTTATGTTGGGGGCCCCAGACCAGGTGGGGTCTCATGAGAGCGGAGTAGAGGGGGACAGTCACCTCCCTTGACCTGCTGGTTACGCTGCTTTTGATGCAGCCCAGGATACTGTTGGCTTTCTGGGCTGCAAGCACACGTTGCTGGGTCATGTTGACCTTCTTGTCAACCAACACCCCCGAGTCCTTCTCATCAGGGCTGCTCTCAATACATTCTCCGCCCAGCCTGTGTTTGTGCTCGGGATTGTCCCAACCCATGTGCAGGACCTTGCACTTGCCCTTGTTGAACTTCATGAGGTTTGCACAGTCCCACCTCTCAAGCCTGTCAGGGTCCCTCTGGATGGCATCACTTCCCTCCAGTGCGTTGACCGCAGCTCACAGCTTGGTGTTGTCGGCAAACTTACAGAGGGTGCACTTGATCCCACTGTCCATGTAAACAGCACCAGTCCCATTACTGACCCCTGAGGAATGCCAGTGTCTGTGGTCTCCACTCGGACATTGAGCCATTGACCACAACTCTGAGTGTGACCATCCAGCCAATTCTTTATCCATCAAGTGGTCCATCTGTCAAATCCACGTCTCTCCAATTTAGAGACAAGGATGTTGTGTAGGACAGTGTCAAATGCTTTGCACAAGTCCAGGTAGATGATGTCCTTTGCTCTTCCCTTATCCACCAACGCTGTAACCCCATTGTAGAAGGCCACCAAATTTGTC